AGTGAAGGTTGTTGTAGGTGTGGGCATGCTACCAAGCAATTTCATTAAACCAAGCAGAGGTTTTACAGTAAGTTCTCTCCAAAATTTCTCTCTATGTCGAAATGTATTGACAATATAGACTTATACTCATAGTTTATAGGATGGCCTATATGCTGTTATAGGCAAACTATATCCCCTGTAATACACTGCATCACTTTGAAAAGATCCACCCATTGGTCTCCTGTGTTTTCTTCGGTGTTGCATTTGCAAATGACTTTTGCCATCATGGAGCCAAGCTACAACCAAGCTATCGCTGACATCCAAAACGAAGCGGGCTGCCAAGAGTACTGAGAACTGCGAATATGACTGTTCGTATTGGTGCGTCACGCGGCAACGCTCGTGGTGGCTGGAAACAAGACGTCATGTTCGACGTAGCCGAAGGCTATGATGTATTCCGTGCTAAATGCATTACGAAATTCAACACACTGGCATCAAGCGCTGAAGTTTTGAAACGCAAGAAGCGACTCACACATTGATATCTAACTGAAGAGGTCTGGCAATGAGAGCCAGGACAAGTGCATGCGCATGTCGGCGGTCAATTTCGTCGAGTCGTTGCACCGTAGGTGGCGGGTTTTGAAGCCAAGTGGTAGAGCACCGGGAAGTGAATTCAAATTCTTAGTGTTCTTGTACGTGGCCAATGCAGCGCCAGCTGCTACGTCTGCCGACTTTTACCGTGCAACAGAGAAGCGTGTCCAGCAAGCTCGCTTGCAGCGCTTAGCTCACGAAGCTGCTAGTGCAGTTTCATTCGGCCCTATTACAAGCACACTATCTCGACATGGTTAATGCCCGTCGTTCGGATAGCGCCACTTTCCACGTTCCCGATGACGATACTACGTGACAAGCAAGAGACTTAAATAGACAGCGAGAGGAAGTTGTTCTCCTGCATAGAGGTGGGATTCAATGTAGAGCACCGGGTTAAAATTCTATGTTTCTGTACTGCTAGTTCTCATTGCAACTACTAATTAAATCTTTTAAAACTTCGTTGCGGAGTGAGGAGCTATTGTATCCACAGTGCTGAAATGACACAAAAAACATTTTCCAGATCCCGTTTAGTACCCTTTCTCATTGCTATATCCAAGATCATCTTCGGATAGAGACTCGGAAAGGATCGACGCCGCTCTGTCAGTCAGTAGCTTTGCAAATAAGTCAGTAAGTGCAAGTAAGATCAATGCATGCGGAAGATAGTGGAATACCCTTTGCTAATATCATAAGCAGCTCAGCGGAAGAATTTCAAGGCATAATATTGGTGGAGAAACAAGGTTAGTATGGCACTGCATCCATCGTTTAAGCAGTCCAAATGCTTGCTCGATCGGGTTTAACTGGGAACAGTAAGGTGACAGAAATATAATCCGAGCACCACACGCATGAATCGCAGCTTGTAGCTCAGGATAGACATGTATTATCGCATTGTCCATGATCTCAATTGATCTAGGTAGCGGCCAGGGACTTTGAGAGCGGGATGCCGTGCTGCATAAAAGCCTCGTGAAAGGTGCCTCTTGAAAATGTCCCTTCAGTTGAATCCCATGCTATAAACCCTGAGACGTCTAGAGCGGCCATAACAGACAAGCGCTCAGCTATAGTCGCACACTTGCTTTGGTAATTCGACGAAACCAGGCGTGTCGTCGAAATACATGACGTCCATCTTTTGAGGTTTAGTCCACAAAGACTTGTTGTTCGGCGTATGAATACACACGCATGAGCTTTTCTTTATAGATCTGAATTAATGCTGGAACTGCCTCGCGCGCCGCCTTAGGGTCATTCTTATCAGCTGGGATTCCTGGGATTTCAGAGCCCTCGCCTTTCATTGGTGCACGAACATCTACAAAAGTTGTGCGAATTGTGCAAAAACAGAAAATCTGGGGTACCGTTCTCCGATCCCAGAAAAAAAGCTGGGGATCGGAGAACGAATCCCCGAGCTGGGATTCCAGGATGACAAGCGTGCCATCCGATCGTTTGTATTATAAATTTTGGCCAAGAGGACTAAACTCTGCATCGCTACGATCATGATATTAAACACGGAACACACCACAGGCTCTGCGTGACGCGGGCATCTGCCGTAGACTCTGTACACACAGTAAACACCAAATACCCAGCGATTGATTCTTATCAGCTCCTCGGTACACCTGCCCCTAGTCGCCGACGTTGGGATCGGTACCCAGCCGATAAGAATGGGCCTTAGAGAGAACCTTGCGGCTCAGGTTCAAGTCGAAATTGAGAGCACGACAAATTTTCAACGTATATACCGTTTTCAGATGAGAAAAGCGTGTAGAAATGCAACTTTGCAACTCCTCGATATAAAATGTCGGGTGGTCCTACACATACGCTTCCTCAAACTTGAGCACCGCTGGTGGCCACCTGGTACGCTCTTCCTTTTGTTCTTGCTTGTTATTGACTACTCCATCACTCAGGAATAGAGAATATCAACGTCAAATAGTCCGCAGATTAGGACCTAGCAGCGATGATACATGCTGAATTGGAATGCTGTATACGTGAAGAAGGGCAACGGCTCGCCATCGAAAATCGTCGGAGAACGTCATGGGGGCGATTGGATACTGAGAGGCTGGAGTGTTGGGTAATAAGCACTAACCACTCATTTTTGCATGTATAAATCGGCAAAACGGACTCGTTTCGATTTTTCGGCGTAGTGATATATCCTATCTAAGTGATCGACGCATTTTCTGTCTGCAATTTGAATCGACTACCATACGATTTACCAAAACTTTTGGCCCAGTGCTACAGCCCATGATTTTCATTAGGGCTAGGGGGCAGTAATCATGGATTTTGCCCATGATTACTATGATTTCTCCATGATTCCCCCGAAGTATATTACGGAGTGAGGTAATTTATTTTGAGCATGTATTCCACATGTTGGGTCACGGCCAAAACATGTTCGCACCACTACCCGATAATTGAAGACTGCACGCGATTTTCGCCTGTCGGACCCTCATACTGCATGAGCAATACTACCACGTGTCATAAATGATGTCCATGTATTTGCCATTAATAACCATGGTTAAATCATGTTTCCAGGACGATATACAATTTAACGAGTGAGAAATTAGCTGGAGTGTCGGTCAGTTCCCCCATCTTATCTCGCATGATCCAGAACTACTTAGTATGGTATAGTGAAACGCGCAGTGTTTATGTATTCATCGTGCTAGCGGTGCATCTTAGTCCTGTTCACCTTTACTCGCATCGCTAAAGTCCACCACGGTCCGAAGATCGTCCCACCGCGGCGCAGCAATCCCACCGTCGTGTAATCACTTCCCATTTCCTTAACGAATCGTCGCCAGAAGTGCAAGATGAGGAATAGACCACAGTTATCGCTGTCCTTTTGGATCGGGCTGTGTACCGAGACGAGGTACTTCACTGAAAGAGCCTTCCGCCCCATTTCTTCTGCCAACTCTGCGAGCAGGTTCTGGCTCGACCACTTGTCGAAACTATCATAGCAGTAAATAGTTGTTCTTGGTCGATCAATAACGAGGCACATCTAGTGATTTCTGTTCATGTTCAAAGGCGTAAACACCAAATCCTTGTCAGCAGCTGCTATCAAACTCAGCGTTCGAGGAGGGATTCGTTTGCCTTTACTCGGCGCAGGTGTATGCAATGACGGCAGGAAAAGCGTTGTGTTGTTCTTGAACTTCTCCGCCAGGGTCATCATGAAGGCGTTAATTAGGTTGTCGTGATACCAGCACCCGCTGCGGGCACAGTACAGATGGGTCCAATTCAGGTCAAAACCTTCTCCGAAACCCGGAAGTCTTTCAAACGGCCACGCATCAACCATTCTTATTGCCAGTGCACATGCTCCTTCATTTAGAAACTGTTCATCAACTTTACTCATAAGCCACGGGTTGGCCCCTCAATATCATCGGTGCTCTGAGCATTTGGTACGCCATCAAGCACAGCCTCGGTCATCATCATACTCCCAGAAGAGACTTGCAGCTCAGCGGCATCGAGCAGATCGTCCACATCGCTACTGCTACTTGACGATACTTCCATGTCCAGGGCTCTTAAGATGCTGGCGGTATTCTTTGTCCGAACCATGATGCTGTGAAACATCAATACAGGGGAGAAACATGGAACAAACATGGAAGACCTCTTTAGTCTGACTATCTATCATCACCACGAAGGTCATAGATCAAACATACCTGAACAGAAACTCCAGCGAGTACCAAGTGACAGTAATGCAGTGGTTACTAAGTGACAGTAGTACACAAAGAGTTAGTTGACGAGTTAGTTGTCGAACATGCATCGCATGGTAACATCGTATTGGATGTGTCATACCTTTTCGTAGAGAACTCTGGTCGTGCTTCTCAACTGCTTCACGGTGGTGTATTGCGCGTGTGAGCAATTCTGGGCGAGCTGCAGGCATTTCATTAGCAAAAGCTGCATCCATATCCAATCAACAAACATTTCTGCACCTCTTTGAGGTTTCTCTACTTCGGAGCCTTTAAAGCGAACACAGAGACGATTAGGGGCCTGGAATCAGGTTCTGGGGCGGACAAGACGTCTCTACAGTCCAACACAACATGATTTAGCAGCAGGAAGAGCTCTCTATGAAGAGTTAGTTTGCGTCCTGTACGCGTCAATGAAGATGATGGAGCATAAGAGATTCTGCGTATCTGCGGGCAGACGTGGGGGGGGGGGCGCAGAGAGGCCGCTGTCGGTTGGCGGGGTCTCGGGGTCTTGCCAGGACGCGCGGGGCAGCAGTGGCGAGCGGTTCGCCTTCTCGTGACGCGTGTCAGACAAATGACTGGCTTTCCCGCCTGTATTTTAAAACGGGAAAATATTTTAAATTACAAACATGGTCAGCCATGCGCCAAATCATGTACATGTATAAATCATAGTGTAGAAATCATGGGCTGAGATTTTGCCGAAACTTTTGCAAAGCACAATATTTGTTGTTTATTATCACCTGCATCAAAGTGGTGTAATAAGTGTGTGGCACACGAACTATCAGGTTTCTGGGGCAGCCAGTCCCCATGGCCTTCTCGTTCGGTGCCACCGCTACGGCGCCTGCCGCCTCCTCCGGTACGTTGCAGCCCATCCGATCTCTCTCTTTATGTAATCCTCAGCAATCCAATTCTTCATCCTCTTACAGGCTTCAGCTTTGGCGCTGCGCCAGTCACCCCGGCCGCTTCCTCGGGCCTAAGCTTTGGTGCGCCGCCAGCGGCCTCCAGCGGCTTTAGCTTCGGTGCCGCCCCCGCCACCTCCAGTGGCTTTAACTTCAGCAGTACACCGGCTGCGCCGGCGGCACCTAGTAGCTTTAGCTTTGGTGCGAAACCTGCGTCGACTCCCTCCACAGGCTTCAGCTTCGGAGCATCAGCCGCTCCAGTGTCTACTGCCCCCAGTCTCTTTGGCTCAGCAGGGACGGCCACAGCGACTCCTGCACCAACAGGATTCGGCTTCGGGGGCTTCGGAACGCAACAGCCAGCGGCAGTAGGAGGCTTCGGAGGCTTTGGCTCAGCACAACCAGCAGCTGCAACTCAACCAGCGTACGTGCTGTAACTTTAGAGCGTCTTACGGTGCACTAAGCAAATGTTTTGTTTCTGCCTTAGCGGTCCTTCGGTCACATTGGAGACAGCATTTGAGGCGCTACCGGACGACGTGAAGAAGAACATGACGCAGTTTCACGCCTTCCTTAAGGAGCAGGACCAGTCGGACGCTTTCCTTAAGACAGTGTCGCCTCGTCAGATGGAGGTGCTACGTGAGAATATGGCCAGGTTGGAGCAGGAAGTTCTGGCAAGACGCAACCGCCAGGACCGCCAGACTGCCGCCGTGCAGCATGTGCGTCACGACGTCCGTCAGCTGCTGCATCAAGTGGATGCGGCCACTCTGACGCGTCGAAGTCTGGATAACAGCAACGGTGGCACACCCAACATGTACCACGTCATGCGCCGCGTGGAGATGCCGTCGCCCTATTATTGGGAATTACTGGACCATTACGAGCAGAAGATGGCGGCGATCAAGGCCCAGATTGAAGACGTGGAGGCGCAATTCAAGCCTCTGTACGACGGACGCACTAACAGCAACGCAGCTGGAGTTGGAGCCCCCGCGCCTGCCCAATTGCAGCAGATTTTACTCGCTCAGAACGTTGCTCTCATGCAGGCTGCAGCTCGCGTGGCTGAAGTACACGAAAAGGCTGAGGAGATGCGGCAATTGTTTCTGTCTAAGATGCGGGAAGATCTGGCTCGGCACGGCGAGAAGAATCCGGCAGCGTTCCAGAACCCGTTCGACAAGCGCAAGAAGAGCAGCGAGGCGGACAAACGCCAGGCTATCGACAAGATCCGCTTCCGCACTAGCGTCGCGCCCACCATCGTGACTCCGCAGCCAGCTGCGGCTGCTCCTGCCGCGACAGGATTTGGCTTCGGAACGGCAGCACCAGCAGCGACTGCTGCTCCTGCTAGCGGCTTCAGTTTCGGTTCTGCGCCAGCCAAGACCGTGTCGTTTAACCTCACAAGCAGCGCAATTACGTCCGTGGCTCCTCCTGCCACGACTACCAGCGTCACTGCTGCACCGTTAGCTACGGGATTCACAGCACCCACCGTAGCCACAAGCGGCTTTGGCTCGTCGTTCCTTCCGTCCGCTACTGACAACTCGGCGACTGTCGGCAGCAAACGCAGTGGCCGCGCGCAAAAGATACGAAAGTAAATAAACAACGACCACGTTTTGGAGAGAGAAGTGTACTATAATATCTTACCGCTTCCCTTTTCTCCAGGTAAGAAAAAATAGTAAAAGCGACTGCAAATGAAAGTCATGAAGCGAAAATATCTTGGCAAGCACCGTACAGTATCCCTTGCTGAGGGTGCCTCAGCTTAAGTAGAGCACGGGATGAACTTTACGCTGCCCATGGTCTTGTTCATCGAGGCCAGCACTTCCAGCACGTCCATGTTGGCGACACGCCACGTGTCGTCCACCAGACCTTGTGCAGTGGCATTAGTGTCATCAGGAGCCGGGTATGGCCACGTCGTGTCCGGGTTGAGTGTCCACCAGAAGCCACCGGCGAGGAATGGCTCCGTTGATCCTGCCATCATCGATATCACGTCCTTAATAACTCGCGTACTTGTCTGCTTGGCTGTAGCGTCGAGGTCGCCCACAAGACCGCCGAACGACGACAATACCACTGCCATACCAGTATCAAACGCTGCACCGAACGAGTAGTTCATGTTGGTCTTCACATTGGCCAGCAAGTCGGCGTCCGAATACTCGACGTAATCTTCCAGCAGGTCACCGCTCGTCGCTCCGTCTTCGAAGAAGAAGAGACGCGGGAGATACGAGCTCGTGTAGTACTTGGGTGCGTACACCACCTTGTTGTTAGTCTTCAGGGTGATGGGGTCAGTACTGAGGCCAGTCAGGTCGGAGCCTGGCAGGAACGTGTTCTTAAGGGAACGATCTCCGTACGTGTCCTTGTGGCTCTCTCCCTGCACTCCTTGGACGAATGCCAGCCACTTGGGACACTCTTTAAGCATGTGGTTGCCCAGTTCCGTTGCTGCTACCGCCCAGTCGGTATCGGATCCATCGCCCCATGTAGCGTCTCTACTGAGTCCATCCTTTAGGTCGATACCGATGATATTGAAGTGGGTTGAGTCGCACATGGCTTCAGCCAGATTCGAGATGGCTGTCTTGATATCGGCCAGCTGAATGGACGAGCCGTACCAGAGACCGGAGCTATCGTCGTCCGAGGAGGACAGCACGTGGAAGTCCAGTACCACGCCAATGTTAAACTGACCCAAACCTTGCACTAGTAAGCCCAGCAGCGTGTTGTAACGCGAGGCTGTACCCAACGCACGGTTCGAGTTGGTGTTGATGAGGTTCGTGTCGATGTCAGTGTTCCGCATCACTGCGTCGATGGAGAGAGGGAAGCGCACGACGTTGAACTTGTTGTACTTGAGGAAGTAGCCGTAGCGGTAGAGCGAGTCTCCGTCCACCATGTTGTCCCACAGTCCTTTGGGGACACCCTTGGCGTCCTCCATGCCCTTCCAGTTGATGCCCTTAATGTCAATCTGCGTGGACGTGCCATCCGCCAGCTGCGCAAAGATGCGGCCGTTCTTACTGACGTAGTTGGGCTGCTCACATTTTCTGTCCGTGTATGTCTTGGGGTTGGTGGTGGCCAGATCCGACGCTGTGTCTGTGGGGCTGCCGTCCTCGATCTGCGTGCCGTCGGTGTATCGGGATTCCTCCGAGGCCTCATTGCTCGCCACAGTCTCGTTCACATCGTCGTGTACTTTGATACCGAAGTATGTTAGGCCAGCGATGGATACGACGGCAATAAGGAAAAGAGCGAGAGCTCCAGGCCACGTCTAAGGCAAATAGGAGAGAATGTGAGTGGCCAACACTCATTCATATTACGGTGCGACTACTTCGTACCGAGCGGCGGCCACGGTACCGCGCTTTCTTGCCGGCAAACGTCGTGTCCACGTCGGCGGCGGCGATAATGCGCTCAACTTCGGAGCTGCGGCCGGCCGAGAAGGAGCCTCGGCCAACGCCGCTGGGTCGTCCCGATGTGCTCATGTCTGTTGCTTTGTCTGTACGCTGCTAACTACTGGCGAGTGGTTACGCGTCTGAAGCGTCTGGAGGTGCCCGAGAACTTCGCCTTTTGCTTGCGTTCGTCCTCCTGGTGCCGGTTTGCTTTTGCACTGAAGGTTGGCAACTGCGCCGTCTCTGGCGAAAGAAACGGAAGAGAGGGAACCAACTTGCGAATTGTATAGGTCTTACAAAAGCTAATATGCGTAGGGGTTATGTAGGTTACACAGGCGAAACGTCTCGTGCACTCTATGTGGCGATTGTATGGGAAACCACAGTTTGACGCAGCTTTCGTTGCCACCTAAGCTGGCGTAGGCACTAACGTTGCCAATGGGTTGGCTTGGCAAATATGTATCAGGTTGAGGGTCAGCGAGGCTGGATACCTAAAGGATATCATCCTTTCCGGCTAGGTGCGATCCGATCTTCACCAACTGCTGAAAATTTTCGATTTTTATCGCATTTTAAACCAAGTGGCTACATGACACTATCATTACACTACGTTTCACTTGTAGGTGACCATAGGTGAATTAAGTTTGCAGCTGTAGAGGACGATATGCTACCGAGGACATCGTGACAGAATAATGTTGAAATGCAGACTTACAACACGTATCAATGATAGCATCAGCAGTGCTGATTCAGCACCGATTACAGCGTACCCAGGTGTATACGCTACGTTCTCCAATAATATAATTACATTTGCGCTGGAAGCATTTCGCCACGTTCTCCAATAATATAATTACATTTGCGCTGGAAGCATTTCGCCTACATACCTGTAAGTCTGTAAATCCATTTTTTAATCCATTCAGGAGAACTTCGTACCCCAGAAACTTAGCTATAAAAAGAAGCGGAGATCGTACTCGAGACTCACAACCATCACGAAGCACCACTCTTTGCTTAGATTCTCCATTCATGCATCGAGTCGGTAGGTGGCAAGTGAAGTCCTTATAGACAAGACGTGACAGCTATTGGTAACTAATTATTTTGTGGTTCAGCTGATCGACTGCAGCATGCGGCGACATGTCGGTGTCTTGACTTTCACAACTGGACACACATTGCTAATCGACAAGACATTGCAGGATTTCATATCTGCGTTACAGCGTCATCCTGGCAGTCCTCGCATGGCCATCGAGACTCTTGGAGCACCGATGTTGTCACAGGACTCCTGCCCGAGCGCTGCCTGGCACTGCCGGCCTGTCTTTGACCCAATAGAAATTACCGGAGCACCGCACATCAAAGCAGCGACCATGGTGACGGACGGGAAGACTGCAGCGAAGGAGATCGCCTCGACCCTCGTCTCCTCTGCTACAGCTGCAACCGAAAACGGCAAGAAAGGCCGCGACTGGTACAAGCTGAAAGTGACGTTTCTGGCATCCCCCGAAGCCATGCAGGTACGACCTATCGGGTGCTCACTGTATGCAGCACTGCTTGAGTTGGGGCAGTGACTAACTGTGGAGCGTATGCAAACACCAGCTGGGCCATGCAGAAATGAGTGCGGCGTGGCGGTTGTTCCTCTTCGGCAACGGCTCGCCCACGCACCACTTGGGGCTGCTTACAGGCTCTCCCACTGAGGTGGACGTCCTCGGAATGCTGCCGGTCGAGAACAGCGCGGACAATGCGCCGACCGAGATCGAGGCCATTGCGGCACCGCGGTGTAGACGCCAAGTTTTCCTGCGCAACGCCCGTGGTGAACGTCTGGGCTATGCGGCGTCGTGGATCAACGTAGAGGACGTGGGGGCAGTGTTTAAGGACACCAAGATCCCTATTGGCAAGAACATTCTGCAGCACAAGACAGAGCTGTATCGTGACATGAAGAGCGTCTTCTGTGGCCACTCGGCCGTATTGGAGAAGGCGTTCGGAGCGGCTGGGCCTTTCTGGGGCCGCTCCTATCTCTTCTGGAACGGAGGACGACCTGTCACCTTCATCTACGAGGTCTTCTCGCCTGCGCTAGAGAAGTATATGGGCAAGGTGCTGCTGTAGACGGTCCTGACTACAAGCTCCAGCCACTAGACCGTGATATGAACGATGAAATATAAATCCACCTGCCAGTTAATGTCCACTTGGTGAGTCTATTCCAGATTGGGGCAGCCTCCTGCCCACATTGACTACGGTCTCCCTCGTTTGCTATTCTCCATCATTGTTCGTGAGAATTACAGCGACATACGCCATCGGCCCTTGTTGAAGCGGCGCTTGAGCACCTTGCGGCCCGAGATGGACACGCGACGCGTGCGGAAGCCGTGCTTACGCTTGCGGCGCAGCACGCTGGGCTGGTACGTGCGCTTGATAGCCTGCAGGGGTTCTGCAGTAGAAAACATGATTCCACCCGTTATTTCGGATCCATTCTATTCGGCATAGTTGCAGCAGTAGCTGTCTTACCGTTAAGGTTCTCAGTGGGGCATTCGAGCTCTCCGATCTGCGGCAGGAAGTCGTCGATCTGCAGGTGGTTGACGCCCGTCTCGAAGACCAGCGAACTGTGCACCAGCGCGTCTGTCGCCGAGGAAGAACATAATAGGCACGTCAGCCAAGCGGAGAGATAAAGGAGCACACCTACTCATGTGGGTAGTGGGGGTAGCCATCATCAGCACGGACGGGTGCAGCAGTGAGCTTGAGGAAACGAAGGAGCTGCCACTAGAAATGCTGGATAGGGCACGCACACCCGACGCGCTTGGTCGAGCTCGCAGACTCAGCTGTAGCGCGTTCTTCACGAGCATGGCCGCCATGTTGCCTCGGTCTCTGGTTAGCCGCTTGTTTGCTGGTATGAAAGACTGGTGGCGTTCGTTAGAAATCCTGTAGAAACAGATTAGAAATTAAGCCTGAGATGACCCGTCCTTGTATATTTACGAAATCAGACCACCACGTTCTAAAATAATTAGCAAAAAAGCGACTCCAAGGTCACCATGGTGGCGGCTGATGCGCACCACGCTGAGCCGCCCGGAGCCTCCTCCGCGCACGACGTAGAGGTGGTAAAAGTGAGCAGATCCAAGGTGACAACAGCGCAGAACGAGCGCTCACCGCTTCTGTCGAAGCCTGAGGAGGAAATCTACCCTTTGCCGTGGTTCCGCAGCCCTGAGTGGACCAGGCATCCACCACCACCCGCTAGAAACCCCGGACGTCGTCGACAAGGTGCTGCCAGTAACAAGAGATCTTCCGCGTGCCCGTCGTCATTGCTATGCTGCTACAACTCCTCAGCGTCGGACGGCGGCTCCGAGTCGGACGTGGAATTGGGCTACCTCGTGCGACGTCCAGCGAATGCGAGTGAGGCCGGCGAAGAAGCAGACAGCTTCAAGCAGTGCATCCAGTTTTTGGTGGGGCTCATCTTGATCATGGCTATGGCTCTCATCCTTCTGATCATTTTCCAGCCCAAGCCCGATAGCTCGCGCTGAGCATCTACCAAGTCCGTTTAGAGAAGACAGCAATTAATATCGAGAGTGTGGGGCAAAAGAGAGGCAACGTAACGCCATCAAGAAGCAAGAACAAGATGTACAATAATCCCACATCCGCTCACGAGCCAAGTCCCTACAGCGCCAGCAAGCTTAAAAGATAAAAAAGATAACATAAAGCTCGAAATTCTCGACAAGGCAACGTTCAGTTTCGTCCTGGTTCCGGTGGTCAATCCTCACGCAACAAATCCACGACACGGCTACATGTTATCGCTGCCATTAGTCCTGTCCATTCGTCTACTAGTGTGCACGTTCTACGCCTTCTCCTTGGCGAGGTAAGCGGTGTGCAGCTTCTTCTGCTTGTCCTGCTCCTTCTTGAGCTTCTTGCGCTGGCTCTTGGTCAACTCCTCGCCGGCCGCGTTGTGCGTCGGCAAACCCTCAGCGTCGAACTGCGAGTACAGCTCCGGCTGCTTCTTGAACATGTCGGCCGGCGACAGCTTCATCTTCTCCATCTTGAGCGCCAGTTGCTGCATCTGCGCGTCCTTGCGACTCGCGTTCGCGCCCGATGCCGGCGCGCCGCTGGCCGCCTCGCCGCCACTCTCACGCAGTGCCACAATCTGGTTCAACACCTTCTTGTCCTTGGTCGAGTCCTGGTCCAGCACGAAGTAGCCGACACGCTCGAACTGCACGATCTCGCCCAGGTTCTTGGCGTACGACTCAGGATCCACGCGCGCCGACGCGTACACACGCTCCGATTTCTTCGAGTCCACGAACGACTCCCAGTCCTTGACGTCGCTCGGCAGCTCCGGCACTGTGAACAGGTGCGAGTACACACGCACCTCCACCTTGGGGCTGTTGGCCGGCACCCACGAGAGCACGCCCTTGGGCTTCGCTGCGTTGGTCCAGTCCATTTGGCCGAGCACCTTGATCACGCGTCCACTGGCGTCCGTCTCCAGCTTCGTGCACGTAAAGGGGAAGGCGTACTTCAGACGCACTTGTTTGTTCGGCGCCACGCCGTAGAAGTCCTTCGAGTCCTCAGTACGCACATCGCTACGGTCCAGGAAAAGTTTCTGAGTGAGCTGCACTTGGTGGTACGCGGTGCCACCGTCACGATCCGCATCCTGCGGGTAGTCCGGTACACGCAGCGACAGCGCGTTCTTGTCGGGTGCGTCGCCATAGTTCTCAATCACCAGCTCCACTGGGTCCAGCACAGCCATGACGCGCTTCGAGGACTCACCGAGGATACTGCGAGCCACAGAGTACAGTCGCTCGATCTGGATCGTTGACTGTACTCGAGTAACACCGATGTCCTTGCAGAATTGCTTGATGATCTCGGGTGTGAAGCCGCGCCGACGAAGACCGTTAAGTGTACCCATACGAGGATCGTCCCAGCCACATACCGTCTTGGACGTCACGAGTTTGAGCAATTTACGCTTACTGAGCACCGTGTAGGTCATGGACAGACGGGCGAATTCGTACACGTTGGGCTTGAACAGGTCCAACTCATGCAACAGCCAGTAGTATGACTCGCGACGGGTCTCGAACTCGAGTGTGCAGATAGAGTAGTCGATGTGCTCTAGAGCGTCCACAATGCAGTGCGTGTAGTCGTACGTAGGGTAGATGCACCACTTGTTGCCGATGTGCGGGTGGGGCACGAACTTGATGCGGTAGGCCACGTGGTCCCACATGTTTGGGTTGGGACTACCGAGATCCATTTTCATCCGCAGGCAGGCCTCTCCTTCACCGTACAGACCGAGACGCATCTTCTCGAACTCGGCCAGATTCTCAGCGACCGAGCGCGAGCGGAACGGGGACTTGCCGGCCTCAGGGACGTCCTTCTCGTCCTTGACGCCGGGAGTGGCGTGGAACTGCTGCAACACGATGCGAGAAGCCTCGATCTCAGGCTTTTTCTGGTGGCAAACGTAGGCTCTTCCCTTGTGGATGAGCTTGAGTGCCAGTTCATACAGTTCTTGGAAGTACTGGCTACTGTACGTGACCTTGGTGGGCGTGTATCCCAACCAGTGCACGTTGTTGGCGATGGCGTCGATGTATTCGTTGCTTTCGGCCTCTGGGTTGGTGTCGTCGTAGCGGAAGTAGGTCTCACGCTTGTCCATAGGTACACCTAGCTTCTCGAAGGCCTCGAAGAAGTTCATGTTCATCGATTTGGCGTGGCCCACGTGCAGATATCCATTCGGCTCGGGCGGGAAGCGCGTGCGCACCTTGCCTTGCGTCACACGCTGGTGCTCGGCGAGCTGCTCCGGCGTGTTCTTGGCCAGCACCATGTCGCGCGCCTCCAGGCCGGTCGTGGTCGTGCTGGAGCTCGCCATAACAAGGGAGGAAACTACCGTACTTTGCTCTTGTGGCGAATGATTTAGTGGTGAGTCTATGTATGGTTCCTACAAAAACTAAGTCAAACAAGATCACCACAGGAAATTGCCAAGGAAAACGGTGATGCTCGCCGGTAATACAAGTACCGTAGGTGCATCTAGAAGACCAAGGGACAGAAGCCTTGTACCGTAAAAAAAACCACGTGCAGTATACGACAGTGATTAAGGCAGCGGCTTCGATTGACTGCATTGCTGTCTACTACGGAGCATTAAAGGGCTTCTGCCCTGTCGTCGCTATGCTAACCCCTACTTTTTAGCGAAGGAGACCTTGAGTGCTTCTGTGGGGGTAAGTTTGAAGCCGAAGAGTCCTTGCAGCGCGATGGCGGCCTGCGCCTCGTCGCCGAACTCTACGAACGCGAGGCCCTTTTTACCTGGCACCATACGCACCTCCTGCAATATCACACAGCACAGGAGAGTCAGCACACAAGCTCCATTAACTCAGTAACGAGCACTGTTACCTTGAAGCCCTGGTATTGTTTGAACAGCACGCCAAGCATCTCCTTGTTGCAGGACTCCGGCAGCTCCTCCAGGAACAGAATCTTGTTCGGCAAGTTTTGCGCAGGCATACGCGGCTGTGCCGCAGTGGATGAGCCGGTTGCCGCAGCACTGCCATTCGCACTCGCCTGCTTCTTGGTCGTTTGTTGTTCAGGCTTGGGGTCGCGCTTCCGCTTCTCGCGAGGAACGAACGAGCCCTCGCGGCGCGCAATTACGTCAGCTTTCTCCTTGGCAAAGTGGATGACTACAGGCTTGTCAAACAGTGTAGTACCGTTCACAGTACGCAGCGCGGAGGAGGCACTAGGGACGTCGTCAAACGTGACCCACGCTTGGCCGCGTAGTCGCCGCGCACGGCCCATGACAATCTCTAGGATCTTGCCGTACTGCGAGAGCGTCGCGTAGAGCGTGGCCTTCATGCGGTCAGCCTTGATCTTGTCATTCAGGTTGTTTAAATAGAGCGTGTGGTTGGGTGGCACGTCCGCCGTCTCCAGGGTGGGCGGCGACGTCGCAGTGTCTGCCATACTCGCGCTGCTTGCTTGACCAACTGATGGTATCTCAAAAAGCCAAAATTGTGTAAAGACATAATGTAGCCATCAAGTACGTAACTACAGGAATAGCCAAGTACAATACTACCGTAGTAGGAGAAAGCCATGCTAGCGACGGCGACGCTGCAGCACAACTTGGCGGCGCTACAAGCGCAACTGGGGACGCTGCAGCAGGAGAACAGCGCCCTGACCCGCGACTTATGTCTGAAAGAGAACTACATTCAACTGAAGGATCAGCAGTTCCGCGTGATGCAACGACGTCTGGAGGAGCTGGAGGGGGCCGTGGCGCAGTGGAAAGACCGATGGCTACAACAGGTGAATGCACAGCAGGTCACGAGCAGCAGCGGAGATGGCACTGAGGATGTAGCTGGAGGACAGACGGACAGACTGGAGGACGCCAGATGGACACCCTGGAAATGCAAACCTGGCACGGCCAACCGCACCAAGGCTTTAGCCCAAGCCAACGCTAAACTGGAGAAGCTCTCGCAGGTAGACAGGAACAAACTACAGCCACTAATAGGAGCTATTGAAGAGGGTGGGGTCGGCGCTGTAGAGGACCTCGTATTTGCCGACGTGTCGGAAGAACTCAGCCGCATCTTATTGCTGTACCTGTTGCCTGCACTACTCGACGCGATGGACGGCGCGCTGCAACTACAGTGCTTCAGTCGCACATACCGCAAGCAGACGATGGACTTTAGAGTCTGCACGCGGCAGTCAGCGGAGGCGACAACGGTGAGTGGGGCGGAGGAACTCGCCGCGTCAGCTGCGCCGGCTGCATCCACCACGGACAAGCCGCCGACATCACCGCCGTCCGTTTGTTCAGCCGAAGCGAGTGGAGATGCACTAATTCCAGCAGCTCAACCCGCACCAGAGACGGAGGAAACCGAGGCGCCGCACCTGTTCGACTGTGTGGAGCTGGACCGGCGTGGCTCTGCACGTAACCCCGTGCCGCACGGTCCGCGCGAGCTGCACGCGACTAAAGCCATGTTCATCTCTCGACCTCTTAGTGGGTCAGCAGCAGCTCGAGCTGTCATTCCTCCGCTTGATAAAGTGGGAGAGAAATCCCTTGATAAAGCATCACGTCGCTACACGTTGACGCCTAAACGTTCAGGCCCAACATTCGCAGTGGAAACGACACGCACACATACAATGACAATGGGCGCGTTGCCGTCACCTGCACAGTCTCCGTCCTCAATGGGTGTCCTTCCTTTGGGCTCAGACGGAGAGGTGATCCCGATGCCTCCACGCGAGAGAGAAGGCAAAGACGGCAAGATCAAGAAGATCGTGGGCAGTGTATTCGACCGTCTGAGTCGCCACAAGTCACAGCAATCACTGGTGTCCAATGCAAGCACGAGCTCGTCGCATGCGTCGCCTGTGCCGCTGACGGGATCGACGGAAGTGACCGGGGACGACGACGAATCGATCTGCGACGGCTGTGGACGCGGCCCGCTCGTCGGTGTCAAGTGGGTGTGTCGGACGTGTCGTCTGCTAGCAGGTGAAGAGTACGAGTTGTGTGAAAAGTGCTACGGCCAAGGAATCCACGGCAAGGAGCACGAGGACGCGTTGTTTGCTCGAGTCGAGGCGATCGTCGTACGGAAATGTCCTCGACTCGCGAGCGAGACGGAACTGCTGCATCTCCTGCGCGTGGGTATTTGCAAGGCCAACCTCAAGAAGTTCAGCTTCTGTCTCACTTGGATTGCAGATCTGTTGCAGTGTAATCGCACCACAGATTTACGTGCGAGAGCGTTGGAGATCGCACACATCCCACCAACTGTACGCAGCGAGTTCGCGCGTCTACTACGGGAGCTTCTAACGCGCTACCGACCGGATATTGAGCTCAAGACGGAATGGGAACCGGCCGCTGGTGCCCAACACAGCGCTCTCGCTGGAACAACAGCGATGCGTGGCGAAGGAGCGCCGGACGAGCTGGATACGCTACGGATTTGGGTGAAAGACACACCGGCCGTGGCGTCGGGAGCCACGAGTATCGGAACACCCTCACTAGGTTAACCGGACGCCGTGAGATAATAAACTAACCATTATTAATATATATTCGTGGGTCTGCATGCAGTGTTTTTAGTAGCGTTCGGAGTCCAGCAAACACAGCGAGAGCAGTGGCAACAGCGCACAGTCCAGCCCAGAGTTGACATGGCTGCTGCACGCTGCTGTATTGTTCGTACGGTTTCCCGTGATAGTCTAATGCCGGCTGAAGGCCACCAAGACAAACGTTGTCGTCCGAAGTGCATGCAAAGCTAATTTGCTTGTTGCTGTAGTCAAAGCGCGTGTAGTACGCTCGGAAGAAGACAGTGCCGAGAATCACGACGTCGAGGTGGTCGCTGACTTCGGAGGAGTCAATGACGTCGATCATAGCTGTACACTCCCGACGGCGATGGTCGCAACGGACGTAGTCGCTACCGTGCAGCTCAAACCGCCGGATCATGGCATTGAACTCGACAAACTCAAAGGCGAGCGATGGAAACTCGTGCACGTGACACGGTCTGCATACAGGAATGTGTGGCTTCTTGTTTGGTGGAGACAGAAGGCGCGTACCAAAGCGGACGGAGAGCACGTGGATGACAGTATCGAAAGTGTGTCGGGGTAATAACAGCACGGACGTTCCGGAGTCGAGCAGTGCGATGCCAGAGCTCCTACTTGGACCTCCAAACGGTAGGCTTTCATTGCCAAACGACAAGTTCTGCAATGTCAAGGCCCAGAATCCATAGCCTGTCTTGGAAGACTGAATATTAGAAACGACGGGGAAGCTGAACCACGTCGCGTTGGCAGTCAACAGAGCTGGGTCGACGCCTCCGATAATTAACAGAGACGCCGGCTGAGCTTGAGACCAGCTACTGATAAAGAGCGAGACGGCCAGAGGTTTCATTCTGCTCTGCTGAGCCAACAGACCCACAAGGCTCCAGTTGCTCTGGATCTGAGCAAGTGCTTCCATCCCCAGACCCACGACACCTTGAGCGTCCAGTCCGGATAGCACCGATGTATGGTCGTTTACGAAGCCTACAGGAAGGAGGATTACGTCGGCGGGGTTAGAACGGAGTTGCAAGTCTGTATGAGCTACGAGTCCAGAGACGATGCCACCTCCGTATCCGAGGGTAAAAGCTCTTGATGCTGACCGTGCGCCCACATCGGCAGCGTAGTTGCTTGATACCCACGTGTCGCTTGACCCCGTATCGAAAATCACACGAACACTGCGAGGTGGTGTGCCCAAGCGCACAACTCCCGTAAAGCGGAGCTGGTCATCGCTGTCCAGAGGAACGCGGATGAAGTGGCACTGGCTCGCAGCTGAGAAATCTTGTGTCAACAGCAATACGAGCACAATTAGATAGCGCAATATACGCTTGCATCGATCCATCAGGGATGTCACTGCGAACGACCAGTGGGGAGTTTATTGATTGTAATTTGGATTAATTTCTTTCATTCTTCATTTTCTGTCTCGGATCACCAACATCAAACCTTGAAGTCCCAATGGAGAAGGCCGAAAGCTGCCCCAAAAGCCCACCACAGTACGTGTGTTTTCAGGAAGTTCCTGCTCTCACCCCATGTGATCACATTGCTCTACGTAATGCTGTCCAGTTGAACCACAAAATGGTGGAGCGATTTCATTTTCTGCACCTTCGAAAAGGAGACTGAGATTAGTCCTGAGGATGATCCGTTTTCCGAAAGGCGGTAAGGTCCCGAGACCAGAAGCGTATTCTTAGCAATCGGTTGTAGATAGAAGCAGGAGCGGTTATCATTCGGCTTTCTGCAGAGTAGGGCAACAGTCACTTCAAGCGCCCCCCCCCCGCTCCTTCAAGCTTCTCGAATGTCGCCAAGACACCTTGCTCCGAACACGCTTGCCTTTCTCGGCCCAGGACACGCCTCTGAGCTGACGGAGTTCTGCTAGGTACGCCTCCGCCGTGTAATTGGCGAGGAAGCGGTTGCTCAAGTCGTGCGACCTGACTCTGACGAGGACGGGCAAGAAATATCGGTGCCTATTCCAACTTTCGAACTCCGGACTGTTGAAGCGGAAGAGGGGCAGCTGTGGCCAGGAAGTTACTTGGCGCACCCAGTAGCGTTCGTTCAACCAGGAGGACCACGAACCAATGGGCTTACGGTGTTGTACTTCGCTACGATGTGAACTCGAAAGGAACCTGGCTTAGTGTGCTTTCCGGCGATGAAACCATCCTCCCTTTGCTCGAGCCGATACGTATTATCAAGGCAGACCCAATTACCTACGCACTCCAGATCGGTGCAACAGTATCCGACATGGCGCTAAACCCGAAGGAACTTCTCCTTCAACAGGACACGGTCATAGGGGCGTGCTGCAAGAAGCGGGGCGCTCTTCCTCCATCGGTACGAGCATTACTTTCCGTGCCATTTTCTCCCGACGAACGTATCCCTCTCGTTCAACCCTCTACTTTGGGTGTCGTGTCCGTACGTCGCCAGCATATTTTAGATTGTTCCATGGGGAAACGAAAGCGAAACGCGCTCGATTTATACCGCGAGACGATACCGGACAGACAAGGCGAGGCTGCGTCAGTTACGAGTGAAGCTAGGCCAGCTGGTAGACGTTCGAATAGCGCTTCAAGGACCTACAGTAGCTTAGATGATGCGGACATACAGGAAGTTCAGCAAATGAGCCGTACACTCGGCAAACGACGGCGCACAACAGACCCGAGCCTTCGAGACCGCCGCAGTCGACTACACCTCGACGATAGTGATCAAGACGAAGACAGTGAGGGCGTCGGCGCCCGCGAAGCCTTCCGGCAGTCAGCAACCCAGAGACGCGTTAGCAAGACGGTTCTCCAGCCTCGTTTCCAAGGTAAGTCTGCTGTGTATGTGCTAAAACAAATGCAACATTCCAGAAACGCGTCGTTCCTGCGGCTCCCACCAGTATGTCGTGGGCTTCTCGACTTCGGCTTCCTCGCGCGAGGCCTTACGTTGATGCACTGTCGACCGGCCGATATATGCGATATATGGGCCCAAGTAAAAGCACAGGATTCTAACACCAGTATGACCGATTTCTCGGAACGCAACGCACTACGCGCCGCGCCCTCAGCAACGTCCCGCTCTGATATCAGCAATGCACTCCGCGCTCTTCGAGGTTTTGCTCAGGAATTCTATGTGGAGAACGTAACGGATCTCGTCGATAGCGCACTGACGTTTATCGAGCGATATAGAGGCATTGCAGACTCAGACGTAGTCGGTTGGAAGCTGATCAGCTTCTGGGTTACGAAAAAGTTTGGAAAATTTCGTAGCTGTGTCGTCGCTCGCGATCTCGATTCAGCCCAAGATGTTCACCACGAATTCTCACGCATGGACGAGGACTTACTCGAGCTACTTGACCTACGCCGATCTCACAACAACGGCTCCGCCGCGCCATCGCGAAGCTACAACCAGCCGGGCGGAGGTCGTGGATCGGAACGCCAACGTCGACAGTCATCTGTTCCTATCGAAGTTCTATCTGCTCTTCCCCGCCACGGCGACAAACGACTCTGTATGAAGTACAACTCCGCCCTCGGGTGCTCCGGAGATGGCCACGGCGGGTGCTTCGATAGCAAGCGAGCACATTTCCAACCGCTGCAATTGCCGGACGTGGTCAAAGTGTACATCACGGAGAAGTACAATGGGCTCGCAGAGCCTCCGAATCAGTGACTACAGGAAACGACTGGACGCCAACACCAGCAACACCAGTTCGCGTCCCAAGAACGCAGGTCTGTATCCGCATCGTCGCCAACGGTCCAGTTACTTAGGCGTATTGCCGAAGTCTCCGAGGCTGAACGACGTGAACAAGTTCGTGTATTTGCATCCAAGTTCGGTATGGTGCCTCCCCCCTCCAGTGATCAAGGCGACACAATTGATGCTGCGGCCGCTAAATTCCTGTCAGATCTCGCTAGCCGTTCACAGTTATCGCTACCGGCCTTTGTTCGACAAGTGCGTGGCCAAACGCCCACAGATGGAAGGCCAAACAAAGCACTATATGAAGTCCCCGTGCCATCTTATTCCAGTCGGCAAAGTCTGTATCGCCAATGGAACGAGATTGTCCGCGAAGGAGTACGCCCAAAGTGGACTAATAAGGCCGCACAGGTCCAGCTGATACGATCGCCAAACCACAAGAGCGCCATCACGAACTCACAAAGCGTTCGCCGCCACATTCGTAAAGGGCAGCGCTATGGCAGGTATCTCGTGCTCAACGAGAGTGTGTTGCAACTTTGGCCAGAGCTTGTTGTCAGCCCCATCGGCGTAATCGAGAAGGCGGGTGATGACACGCGAATGATCAATGATTACTCCTACCCCCGTGGGTCTTCAGTAAACGAAGTTACTGATCGAGCCAACTTCCCGCCCATTTCGTACAATCCACCTCGGGATATTGCACGCCGCATTCACGAGTTGCGGATTCAGTATCCGGACGAGGAAGTACTCATAATGCTCGAAGACGTCTCCGGAACACAAATGTGAATCTGTACACTGCGGTGCACGAAAACGCAGTGTACAGATTCACATTTGTGTACGATGGCTACGTAGTCATCGACTTGTCCTGTGGTTTTGGCTGGTGTGGATCGCCGGCCTTTTATTCTATGGCAGGCTCAGTTATTAACGACCTGTATGAATCGACAACCCTGACGGAGGCGTCGGGCCCCGAACTTGGCCATCTGCAAGGTAATCTGTGGTGTGATGATTACACTTGTGTAGAGGTCAACCGAGGCCAGCGCTGCCAGACAGCAAACTCAGCACTACGACTTGCGATGGCTACCGTCCTAGGACCCACCGCGATCAATGACAGGAAGCTTACAACTTGGAACACACAAAACATCTTTTGTTCTGCTCTGGAACACAGCAGACGGTACGGTGTCCATTCCAAACGATAAGCTGGACAAGGCAAGCCGACGCCTCAACGAACTCGTTGCTAGAGGACGAGCTACACGGACGGAGCTCAACAAGCTACTTGGTATTATGAGGCATGTGACGACTTGCTTCCCGCCGGCACGATCGTTTTATCAGCGTGTCCACGTTGCTGCAATTACTGCGCCACTGCTCGGCAGTCGCAAAATGGAATCGGAAGTGTTCGAGGACTTGCGCTGGTTTACGTCAGTAATTGACTACAAGGACCATTTCAATAGGATCCCGGTTGCAGAGCTTGCTGGAGCTACCACACTAAGTGTTCACGTCTACATGGACGCGTTCGGGTCAGGGCTTTGTGTCTTGGAGCCGCAACGAAAAGAATATATACGAGTGCAGTACAGCGAGTTGGAGCTCCAACACATCCAGTCAGGTACATTCGAGAATTCTATCAATGTTCGCGAACGCTATAGCGCGGTCTTAGCAGCACTTCACTGGGGGCCGCGATGGCAGCACGAGCAACAAACACATCCGGTGCACGTTCGCCTCCACATAGACAACACAAGTGCAGTAGCATGGGCTAACAGCCGTCTCAGCCGCCATCCGACTGCCCAGCTTTACAACCGACTGCTCTCCTTTGCCGAATTTAAGTATCACTTGGCGCTCTCAGCAGAGCACATTGCCGGAAAGCTCAACATCATGGCCGACGCAGGGTCTCGAGCGTGGACGGATACGCATCCGTTATGGAAATCATGGTCTAACTTTTCTCTTTCATGGACACAGGTCAAGGCTCTTCCTCCCTACGACAATCTCTACAGCGTTTGGGAGCGTCTCTGTGCAGTCAAGCTCTGGCAAGAGCCTCACAAGGAAAGTACTACGGCCAGTGGCAACAATGGAAACACTTCTCCAAGATAATGGGCTGGTCACCGTGGTTGAGCAGTAGCGGACGCCCCAGTTCAAGGAAGCTGGCACTTTTCGCGGTGTGCCTATGGCAGTACGGCTGGAATGCATCTGGAAAAGGAAATCAATATCCAACGATACAAGCGAAGCTTTCAAGTGTATTTTGGTTTTACCGTCGCTTTTGTGACGTGGAATTGGGACGCTCCCCCAATTAAAAGTTCTTCTCCACGGAATTAAGCGCATGTCGGACCCCACAGCGAAGAAAATGCCGATAACACCCGCGTTCCTACCGATTCTCCGACGTTCACCGCATCTCAGCCGCCCTCGCGACCGGCTCCTGTGGGGTAGTGTGCTCCTCGGCTTCCTCTTCTTACTGCGCCGATCCGAGTATCTGAAGATCGGACACACACGCAGTTTCTACTGTCTGAGGATGGCTGAAGTCAATATTACAGACTCACGAGGCAACCCAGTTGACGAACAACATGCAACAGCAGTAACAATCAGCCTACGTGGCGCCAAGAATGATCAATTCGGTCGGGGCGCATGGCGATCTATGCATCAGTCTGGCGATCAATTGTTGTGCCCAGTCCGAGCACTCCAGCTTGTCCTCCGTGCCCGTCAGGCACTCGGAAGGGCCAAACATAAGTATCTCTGTGCTGACCTCAGCGCTCACGAAGTCAATGCGGCGATCAAAACGGCGGCCACAAGGGCAAGGGTGTCTCCAGCTATCTATTCCACACACTCGTTGAGGAGCGGCGGTGCTACGGCGCTTATGACGGGAAAGGCCGACGGCCTGTCGATCAAGTTGCTAGGACGATGGCTATCACGATGCTTCGAGGAGTACCCAATGCAAGCGGCGAATTCAACAATCGATCTCTCAAGTCGCATGATATAGTCTCGTCGTGTTCAAGCACGGGCCAGCAACAAGCATGGGGGCCGCTAGCCGCGCCCTCGAACTTACAGAGGCAATACACACGAGTTGCCCCACACGCATCTCGACGACTTGGACGCGTGAGGAAAAGAATCTAGAAACTCGAGGCCAGTCAGCAAGCGTTGATTTTGCAAGATGTCGTGGTAGCTGAGGATTTTGCTACTCCAAGAGAAAAGGGACAACGTACGCGGATCTGTGAAGACATTGAATGTCATAAGCGCAGACCTTGCGAGGAGCGTAACGGCAGCTGCGGTAAATGCCATGATAGATAAACACGCGATAGAGGACTCAATTTCTTCCCCAGTATTGTTGAAAGGGCTCATGGATTCCATGATGGAACGGCTCAAATTTGCGTTTACCGAGACAGATTACCTCGGGGAGGCGCACGTAAAGATTAAAGAGTACCTCTGGCGCTGCTGGAGTGCTTATGACTCGAAGTATATTGAAGCCCTGTACGCTGTATACCTGTGCCCGATTTCACCGATCGACGGGTATCCAGAGGCGACAACAAATCTCCGCAATTGGTTGATCCCAAGGTCTTCTACCGTCGAGCAGATTGCTTCTCGTTTAAAAACCATTTATAACATGCGATACAGA